CGGAGGGTTCGAAACCCCAGGATATCCGATACGATATCGATACTTAAAGGTTACCTAGACATACAGCCTACAGGTGGATGCGTAACAGAAAGCTGTTTTGTAAGCGAAACTCTGAAAAGACCGGATAAGGTTTCACACTTCCATATGAAAATTGGCACCGCGCGATTTTCGAACGGGAAGTTTAGTCCTAACGTGATTTGCATTTATCAAACTTTTGCTGTGTTCTTACGCAACAAAAGTACCATTTCAGTTCTAAAGAATCTATCCTGAGCTATACGTTCGGTAGATTACTTTTTTTTGAGTCTCACTATATTAAATAGTTACCTGTGGTTTTGCCTCAGCTTACTATTCGGTTTTTTTTGTTTTTCACGTATAGACTAGTTTCAGTTTATATCACTCGTTTTGTCCATTTTTGTCCGTTTTCAGTGTGCTTTTTAGTGTTTTTTTAAAAGGCTTAGGCTCTTGCAAGCATCTATAACATAGTTTGCTTCAACACAGTCATGAAAAACTCATGCAAACGTCCGGGATGCCGTTTTGCTGTCACAACTGGCATGCAGTGCGACAACTGCAAAGGTTGGTTCCACGAAGCATGCACAGATCTGACAGCAACTTCTTACAACAAACTCAGCAAGTCAGACCAAAAGTGGGTATGTGTCACGTGCAGCACGGACGCAGTTGTCTTGCTGAGTAACATCATTGTCCTACTGACAGGTCTTCGGAACAAGTTGTCAGTTAACTTGGATAACACTAGTAAAAAATCCGGTCGACAAACAAGAGCGTGTGACGGACTCAAAAATAGGGATGTCGACAGGCATACCATCGATGGAGCATCCATCAACACTAATGACGACGTGTTGAGGCTCAGCACCATCATTACGTCGACAGTACTAGACTCCCTAAGCAAACTCGGGTCTCCCAGCTCAGGGTCCCTGGACACAACAGTGGTTCCCAAAAACCCTGTAGGTGATTCGACCCACGTTAAGAGAGCCCAAAAGAACCAGGCATCACCGCCTAAGCCGAGCAACCCAAGTGTTGCTGCACGGAAAATAACTGGTGATTTGGTCGCACAGTCTACCCCCAAGACTGTTCGTCCGGTCAATAAAGAGCCCAAGATTCAAAAACGCACACTGACCTCCAAACAACAAGTTATTAAACCTGAACCCATCGTGAAACCTGGTAAATTAACAACAGTTCGTGACGATTCTCTCATTATCATGAACCTCGTTGACAATCCTGACCTTCCTCTCAGTCTGCAGGACAAAAACGACAGGATGCTCTGGGGTGAATTGAACAAGAAGCTTGAACTTCCTAGAATAGAGCCTTTGACGGTCACCCGGCTCACTCGAGGAAAGGATTCTAAGCATCTAAATCACCCGAGGCTTCTCCGAGTAACACTTAAGAATGCTACCGACGTAGAGGACGTCTTGCTAGCAAGTCACTTGCTGAAATCAGATGGTAACGTAAGAATATTGCCCGACATACCGTACTCTGAGCGCAATATCATACGAAACATCCCTAAAGAATCTCGCGAGAAGTTTTTCCGCGGAAGAAACATAATTGTTCAAGGTATACCGGAAAATGCAGACCCTACTCAATCACATTCTGACATCAGGGAATGGAAATTCATCAAACAGTCCTTGAGGCTCAAACACATACTGACTCAGCATGTGACGAGACTAGCCAAGAAGGACGGTGACCCCAGACCCCGTCTAATGAAGATAACCTTCCCATCTTCCCACATGGCGGCTGCAGTTCTGGAAGCATTTCGTGCTAATAGACGTCGATTGCCACCTGGAATCCACATGCACCCGGATAGGCCATACGAAGCTAGGACCAAGAACAAAGGCAAGTTGGAGCTGACCATTCCACTTGTGGACTGTCTAAACGATAAAAAAACGTGTAAAGGACAGGGCCTACCACCTCGGCAAACCTCATATAGGTGGGCTACCTGTCCATTCACATAAGGTTCATACAGAAAAACAGGACGAAGCTCACGCGTTCCAAATTGAAAGCATAAACTGCTTATATATGAACGCCGCGAGTCTACCAAACAAACTGGATGAACTACGTGAACTTAGCAACGCTAATAAGGCCCATCTGATAGGAATATCTGAAACCTGGATATCTTCTCAGTTCTCGGACCAAGAGTTAGCATTACCTGGGATGACTTTGTTCCGCAACGACAGAAAAACAGGAATTGGGGGCGGAGTAGCCATATACATAAGCTCTTGCTTGGAGGTGCACCAAGTTCACAACCTCGAGTTTAACAATCTTGAGGAATCCATATGGTGCTCTGTAAGATTGTCTAGTACTTCGAGGTGTCTAGTCGGAGTCATTTACAGGAAGCCAACTGCCGACATCGAGTACGATAGTCGTATGCTGGAAGGACTATCCCGCTCTATCCGTCTCGGTTTCACACACATCCTGATTCTAGGGGACTTTAATCTCCCTAGAGTCAACTTCGCGGAACACACGTACACTGGAGGCGACAACTCAATTGAAGCTCGGTTCTACAACCTCATCGATGACTTGGGCTTATATGAAAATGTGAGGTCGGCAACTCGTTGGAGAAACAGTCAGACACCATCGCGCTTAGACTGTGTATTCACTAACGAAGAATTCCTAGTCGACAACCTCTCAATCCTGGCTCCTCTGGGAAAGAGCGATCATGCCGTCATAGCCTTCAGTTTTGTCATCAAAACTAAGCTAAGGTATCCCAACAATAATTTGCGTTGGAATTTTAAACGGCTGAATGTGCCAGCTCTACATGACTATCTACAACAGGTGGCTTGGGATGTTCACCCTCAACTCGATGTGGATGGTCATTGGGACTTCTTACTGCACACGCTCTTATGTGCTACAGACCATTCAGTTCCTCAAACGGTTCCCAAAAGCTGCAAGCCACCTACAGTAATCAAGAACCGTACCCTTCGCCTGCTAAGCCGCAAAAGGCACTGTTGGGCGGAATACAAACGAACTAATAACGATGGAGCGTATAGGCAATATAAACATATCAGGAACATATGCACGAAGGCTATAAGAGAAGACAGGCTTCAGTACCAAACAAAGCTTATGGACAAATTCGCCTCTAACCCTAGAAGCCTATTCCGTTATGCAGCCTCTCTTCGTCAAGCCAAAACAGGAGTTTCTCAACTGGTAGGTCTTAACGGCCCGACCAACAACGATGGCGACGCCGCTAACCTTCTGGCGGCACATTACTCTCAAACATTTCAACCGGCTGACATCAACTTTACTGACGACAGTTTCATCTGCAATTCCACAGGACTTTCTGAAGTGGACCTAAGCGCTGACTTGGTGTTCCGGAAATTGCAGCACTTAAGACTAGACACTTCTCCTGGCCCGGATATGGTTCATCCTGCCATACTGAGGGAGGCAGCCTCAATCCTGGCAACGCCGCTTAGCGTGATGTTTTCTCACTCGCTTAGCCGAGGCAAATTACCGGAAAATTGGAAGTTGGCTCACATCACACCAATTTTCAAAGGTGGTCGACGCAATGAACCTTCAAGTTATCGGCCGGTGGCTCTTCTGTCATTACCTTCAAAACTCATGGAGTCCCTGATATGCGACGGTTTAAATGACTATCTACTGTCCTTAAATTTCTTCTCACCCCAACAGCATGGTTTCAGGAAGGGTTACTCTTGTATAACCAACCTGCTGACTGCGGTGGACAGATGGACAAGCATCCTCGATTGCAAGGGAAAGGTTGATGTCATTTACCTTGATTTCTCAAAAGCTTTTGATAAGGTTAACCACTTGTGTCTTATCAACAAGCTCAAACGACTAGGTATCAAACCACCCCTAATCGATTGGCTTACTTCATACCTAAAAAATCGACACTTTAAGGTTAGGGTTAATTTCACTTTATCTCAGGCTATGGAATGTCCTAGTGGGGTCCCCCAGGGCTCAGTACTAGGGCCTCTTCTCTTCTTGATCTACATAAATGATCTTCCTCAACAGGTAACGTCAGATTTATTACTTTTTGCCGACGACGTGAAACTTTGGAGAGAGATACGCAACCAAGACGATACACAGGCACTTCAGGAGGATCTGACTCGACTTCAAAGTTGGGCAGACGATAACGGACTTACCTTTAACACTTCAAAGTGTAAAGTAGTCCATCTGCGACATGTTGCAAACTACAGTTACAACTTAGGAAACTCCTCTCTAGTAGTATCCCAAGTCGAAAAAGATTTAGGAGTCCTGGTGCCCCATGATTTGAAGTCTTACGCCAACTGTGACAAAAATGCCTTCCGAGCAAACCTTGCACTGGTAACGTTGAGGCGCATTTTTGGCCAGTTTGACGGAAGAACTTTCCACACAATCTTCAATAGTTTCATCCGTCCCCATTTAGAGTACGGAAACATAGTACTCCCCCCTCACTCCAAAAGGACAAGGTCACTTTGGAGCGTATCCAACGGCGAGCCACGAAATCAGTTCGAGGACTCAAATCTAAGCCTTACGAAGAACGCCTCCGTTCACTAGACCTTTACCCATTAGAATATAGGCGTCTTAGAGGTGATTTATTAATGGCTTATAGTATTCTTAACACTTCTGGACATCCTCTTAAACACCTACTTAAGCTTAGTTCGAATAACAACCTAAGGGGTAACACCCAGAAACTGGAAACACAACATAGCAAGACGGAATGTAGACACAATTTCTACTCCTTAAGAGTTGTCAAAAGCTGGAATTCGCTGCCAGCCGAGCTAGTCCAAGCGACTTCTCAGGAGTCCTTCAAGAGGCAACTTGACCTATTCTTAAGGACCAAGAACAGCATCACATTATGATTTACCAATCTCTTTTCCTCTTTTATTGTTAACATACCTAGGTTCCTGCCTGGAGGATTTGGTGATCCCCTGCTACTAGACACGGAAGCCTGTTAAGCGAAAGCTTCTTCTATTCCGTCCACAACCATTTGAACCATTTGAACCATTTGGTTCCAACTCTTCAGTTCCTTGACCTTGAACTGGGCGGTATCACTGGTTTTAATATAATAACGTGAGTCCTCGTTCGTTCTTTTTATATATGTAAGAGCCGGCCGCATGTAATTTCGATGGAAAGGTGTGATCCCGGGATTAAATTTACGGCTAGGGACACTAAAGTGGCACGATACTATATGGCCTCATGTCCTTCTGTTCGGTCATCAAATAATCAGTGTTGCGAACGAGAAGTATTGACCCATCTTGATTTACATATCTCGAATTTTTGCTGTGCTTACGCAAAATAAGTTTCGTTTTTGATCCACAAAATCTGTCGTGGGTTTGCCTTCCTGTATATCGCTTTTCTTTTTGAGTCTTATCCGAGTTAATGGTTAGTTGTAAGTTTTCCTCAAATATCTTTGCGCGTATATATTTGGTGCCCACTTGTACTAATATTTATGCGTTGAACTGATAATAATTTCCATTCGGTTTTCATGGTTTCTCACGTCGAGGCTAGTTTTAGTATATCTTAACTTTTTATGATATCCGCTCTTACTAGTTCTGAGCATATTTTTTCACGGTCATAAGCAGTTGCTAGGATTTGCCTAACAACTGTTATTTTACCATGGCCAGCAATTACGCCTGACGATGATCTGAATGCCGTTTTCCTGTCACTTGCGACAGGCGGTGGAACAAACGCAAAGCATTCAAAATTCTTAGAGTAACTGCTCACAACAGACTTGGTAAGTCAGGTCTTAATTGGGTGTGTGGTACATACAACAGGAGTGCTGCGAGTTTGCTGAGCAATATCATCATTCTCTTGACAGGTCTGTGGGAAGAATAGTTAGCGATTCTTAAAATGGCAGTGCTGAAACGAATAAACAAACAGACTTGCAGTACGGTAGAAAAGGGAGTCTTAGATAAAATTAGTCTAGGTGGAGCAACTCAGCACCTCCATGACATTGATAGTGTTAGACTCCCAGTACACTCGTGTCCCACAGGAAGGACTCCCAAACTGAAACTTTAGTCCTCAGAACTTCCTCTGTAAGCGACTGGACCCTCGTCAAGTGTTGAAACGCATCAAACGCCACCGTCAAAAATGCTGGACAGCCCAGATATTGTAAGAAAATCAGCTAATGGATCGGTCGTGTAATATATTCCCAAGATTGTCCAACCAGCCAGACCGCAATCTAACTCATTAAACGGACCCTAACCTTAATGTACTCAAAACCCGGAAAGCAATCACGGTTCGCGATGATTCTCTCATAATTTGAGCTTCCTTTCAGTCTACAGAACGCAAACGACAGACGCTTTAGAAAGAGCTAAACAGGAATCCCCAAACCCCTAAATTAAGCCACTAACGGTTACACAAATTACTCTGGTGGGGGATACCAAACAGCAAAATAGCCTAAAACTTGTGTGACGTCCGCCACCAGTGTCGATGTAGAGGACTTTCTACTGGCCAGTCACTTGTTGAAATCAGGAAGGGATATAGAAATACTGCATGATATGCTATATTCTAAGAGCAGTCTAACCAGGAAAATCCCTAAAGAATCTTGCTCCACGTTTTTTCGTGGGAGAAGTGTTATTGTGCAAGGTGTTCCAACAAGCACACACTGATTATGCAGACCATGATATCCTGGAGTGGATTGAACTTGAAGCTGACATATTGGCCCAAAAAGCGCCACGATTATCTTAGAAGGACGGGGATTCCAGACCCCAGCTAATAAAGATAACATCCCCATCCTCCCGAATGGCGGCTGCCACTCTCGAAGCATCTCGTGCCGACAGACGCCGGTTACCATCTGGAATCCGTATGCATCGGGACAGGCCACATGACGCAGTTCAACTAACCTTATTTTTACCTATCAAATTCCGAGAAATCATTTTCGTTTGTGAACTTACATGGTGTTATAATCTCTTTCTTACGGTTGATCCAGCTATTCCTATTGCATAGTATTCTCGGACACCGATTCACTCGACAAGTCCCCAAATCAGAACACGGTTCAACAGAAAAGAGATTATATTCCAAATAACAAGGTTAGATGGAAGTAAGAAGCACAATAGGGAAAACGTTAGTATATTTATAGTTTTTTACATGGGAAGATTCTAGAGTATTCTCTAAGTATTGACTAGTGCTGATTGAATAAGAATTAGCCACTCACCGTTCACCAAAGCAATCGTGCATTGAGCATGTTTTAATCCAGTCTATGTCCCGCTAACACATGGTAAATTTAATATCATCTTATCCTTCCAACTTAACCATTTTCGTCAATTATTATCAAAATAGGACGCAACGTTAGTGTACATCGCCCCAGTATGGCAAGATAAGAAGCGCAATATGGTATATATAGGCATGAGTAATATTTCTTTCACTGCTGCATAAATTTACAGTTTGAACCAACGTATCTTTGTGCGAAGCTCCTTGTTAGTGGGTCCCTATTCTATTGTTCTGCGATAACCAATTTTTTGAAAGTAGTTTTTATGTTCCATTTTGTTTGTTGCTCATCTTAATTTTGGGTCTTTCTCTCTAGAAATTGAAGAAAAACAACTGTACATTCACACAAATCAACTTAATAGAATCTGGGTGATCATGTTTGCCTCATTAAAAGTTTGGCAGATTGTTCGTAATCAAAATTTCTAGGGATTATCTGCAATCGTAACCGGAGGATCATCAGGACTTGGGCTGGCTACAACTAAAAAGTTAGCATTTTCAAATCTCAACTTTATTTTATTTGCAGATTAATTGCTGAAGGGTGCAATGTGTTGGTGTGTGACTTACAAAAGTCTCCTCTGTTATCAGAACTAGGCAGTAATTGTGTTTATTGTGAAACAGATGTAAGTTGTTCTGTGCATGCAATAACTTTGATTACTTAGACAAAACACAGTTATATTTATGACTATTACTATTATTTCCATCTCTCAGGTTGGCTCGGAATCTGATGCAATAAAAGCTGTAGATTTGGCCGAGAAAAATTTCTCAAAACTCCATATTCTGGTTAATTGTGCTGGATCGGCAGTGGCCTGTAAAACATTTAATATCAAACGGCGAAAACCTCATCCACTGGATTTATTCGAGAACATAATAAAGGTTGGTATGTGGGTTCACAAATTTTCTTCAAGATGTGTAGCGGTGGTTTAGTGGTTAAGGCATTCAACTTTCGGTCACTAAGTCCTTAGTTCGAACACTCCTCCATCCATTTCTTCTGGCCAACCGAGCAGTATTGTTAGCCCTCATATTTAGTGTGTTTCATACAAGTGCATAGGGAGTGAGTTAATCTAAAGTTTTTAAAGTTTAAATTTAAAAGCAAAATGTTTGTAAAACATTATATTAATGTAACATATGTGTTCAGCTTTAAGCCAACTGTATGAGGGTAGTCTATCCAAAGCTGATAGATAATAATTTAAGACTTCTGCCCCATGATTAAAATGGAGTCCTTTGATAAAAAACCACCACATCTTAAATTAACCCTCACTAAGTGGGTTTTGTTCAGTGATTTCATCCCCTACATGTGTTTCCTGTAAAAATGGAGGGTCGAAAGCATGTGTTCATCAATTCCCATAAATCCTAGTGTCATCAAAACTTTTAAAACAAGTTATTTTTTCTCATTACGACCCATCTACTCTTATTACTTAGTATTTCTAGGATACCTCCTCACTCGACACGTCCCCAGATCAGAACATGGTTGAATAGGAACGTAATTATATTCCAAATAACAAGGGTGGATGTAACTAGGAATCACAATAAGGAAAATGTTAGTATATTTATAATTTTTACATAAGATGATTCTAGAGTCTTCTCCAAGTATCCAATCAGCGTGCCCCTGTGGCGTATGCTAATTGGATAACGCGATGGCGTGTAAAGCGAACGGTACTGGGTTCGAGTCCTGAGGTGAACATCAACTCTAAAATACAGGCACATCCAGCCGGCGAGTCCCCAATAAGGATGAAACGCGCGTCCTGGACTCCACTGCTAGCCACTTTCCCGCCAAATACCCTGGTACGGCCGAGAGTGGGGAGGGTCCGCTCACCCTCTCGGAATGCTCTCACATGGCCACGCGTATATAGCCTCTGCCAGGAAAGTCCTACTCACCGCATTCTCATGGTGGGGGTGTTGTTTACGAAGTTGAGAGGACGAAAGTCAGTCAGTCAGTAACAACGTAGAACCTCGTACATATGTACATCAGTTCGAGTTGCCACACCACATTAGCACAGAGATGCAGTTGTCGATTCAAATCCCGTAGTGGTAGAGGTAGCAAGAGTATAAGCAGTAATCGGGAAGATTAGGGTTTGGAGATGTTATTTAAAGAGTATAATCCAGTGAAATAAATTTGGAAAGAGGAAAAAAGGGACATGAAGGATTCAGAAGATTAGAATTTGGGAGAACACAGAGAGTGGATGCACCTGCGCCATTGCAAACGATTTTGAGCCATGTCATTCAGGGTCTCTAACCATCGGTTGCTATCATCTCGCGGTCCCCAACCAGGTAGTCTACACCTACCAACATGACTCAGTTCACTTGTCAGTGACTTCATGGACTTGTGCCATGTTTTGGTTTGGCCGCCCCTAGCTTTCTTCCAACCTACTCCTATACCACTGAACATAGCACGTCGAGGCAGTCGGTCGTTGGGCATACGTAACACGTGTCCCAGCCATCTCAACTGATGAAGTTTCACTACTTCATCAATTGATTTGCCATCCTTACCTAGTACCCGTTTCCTAACAACTGTTACTTACTCGATGGTCCCATGATATACGAGCAATGTTTCGAAGACACCTATGATCAAATACTAGTAACCTACGAATATCCTCTACTCTTACCGGCCATGTTTCACTGCCATAAAGTAGGACGGAACGAACTGCTGCGCAGTAAACCGTCCTTTGGTTGATAGACGGATATCTCGCCTACGCCATAAATGACGCAAGTTGGCAAAAGCTAGTCGAGCCTTCTGTATCCGTGCTGAGATTTCGTCACACACTAAACCACAAGGGCTGATGAGACTTCCAAGATAAGTGAAGCGGTCGACACACTCAACTACTTCACTCCCTATCACTAGTTCGGGTGTCGATGTAACCCAATCCTGAAGCAACATTTTGCATTTCGAGGGAGAGAATCGCATCCCGAACATGCTTGCATTGTTGCTTAGAGTGGTCAGAAGACTCTGCATTTTGTCAGCGTCTTCACCAAATAAAACTATGTCATCAGCATATTCTAAGTCAACAAGTGAACCTCCCGGTAGAAGTTCAACCCCTGGAAATTTAGATGAGGAGAGTGTTATCTCTAAAAGTACGTCGACCACAAAGTTGAACAAGAATGGGGAGAGTGGACAGCCCTGACGAACACCACTTGAGGTAATCAATTCTGATGACAGTTCGCCATAAGCTCTCACTCTACCAGTTGTGTTCGAGTAGAGAGCCTTTATAAGGTTAATGTACTTCTTTGGTACTCCTTTCAGTGACAAACACTGCCATAGAACCTCACGATCAACAGAGTCGAATGCCGCCTTAAGGTCGAGAAATACTACCATTGTGGGGCGTCTGAATGTGTGTCTGTGTTCTAGAACCTGACGTAGTGTGAATATCTGATCTATACAACCACGTCCAGGTCGAAAACCAGCCTGGTTTTCTCTAGTCTGCTCTTCACGAGCTTTGATTAGGCGTCGAAGTATTATTGAAGCTAATATTTTAGACACTATATTAGTCAAACTGATTCCTCTGTGATTGTCACAAGAGGACTTTTGTCCTTTCTTATAGACTGGCACAATCAGTGATTGAGACCAGTCAGATGGGATTACGTCCAGTTCCCAAATTCTACCTAAGACCTCAGTTAATCTCATTGCTAATACTGGACCACCATCCTTAAAAATCTCAGGAGTAAACCTGTCAGGGCCTGCTGCTCTCCCTCGTTTCAGATTTCCTATGGCTTTTTCAACTTCGTAAAGGGACGGAGGACCTACATTAACTTGCCATTCAGGTTGACTGGAGATCGTGGGAAACCGAAGTGTGGCTGAAGGCCAGTTGAACTGATCCCTAAAGTGTTCTGCCCATCGATCCAATCTCCTGGATTGAGAATGAATAATATGTCCATCTTTCTCTGAGATTGTTTCGCTAACGGTTTTTTTTTTTTTTTCGGTTTCCTTAACGAGTCTGAACAATTGTCTGCTATTACCTATTGCCGCTGCCTTTTCCATCTCTCTTGCTTTCGCTACCCACCACTGTTCGCGATCATTGCGTAGACTTCTTGTCAGCTTGCGCTTAAGCTGACTCCGCTCTTCATTATGTTCAGAGCCAGGTGGAATGAGTTTCCGAGCATCTATCAGTGCGATAGATGCTGCTGAGATCCAGTGTTGCTCCCTAACCTTCTGGTTTACCTTACTAGCAGATATCACTGCTGTTTCCACAGCTTTTCGGATATCATTCCATGCTGCATCGGGGTGGGCATCACATACATGGCTGCCTAACTGTTTTCCTAGTTGTTCCTGAAATATACTCTTAGCTTGACTATCATTAAGTAGGCCCTAAGAGGTTTCCTTGCAGCGTCTTTCCTACGTCCAGTAAGACGCAAGCAAATACGCGCTCGCACTAGAGCATGATCTGAATCTAGGCATGTGCTCCAGAATGAGCGACAGTCTTCTATCGAGCCCCTCCATCGGTGGCTGATAGCGATGTGATCTATTTGGGTCCAACGTTGGGACGAATTAGGGGGTCGCCATGTTAAAAGATGTTTTTCCTTATGCTTAAAGTTAGTATTTGCAAGGAACAGGCGGTTATCTGAGCATAGCTGCAACAGACGGTCGCCATTATCTGTTCTTTGAGCCACGACACCATAAGATCCACCTAGGTGTCTTTCCCTATCGCTAAGTTTACCTACTTGAGCATTAAAGTCACCGGCCACTATTACTACATCCGAGCGCTTAGCTTTTCGGAGAAGGTCCGAAAGCTTTCTGTAAAACTCATCTTTTACATCATCTGAGCTGCAGTCAGTGGGAGAATAGGCAGAGACGACGAAGAGGCAACGACGAGTGTCCCTATCTTTCCGGATTCTTACTGTTCCGTTCAGTCGGACAGCGCACAAACGACTGTCTACTGGGATCCACTCTAAGAGAGCTAGTTCTGCCCTAGGACTCAATGCTATACCTACGCCGGCGAGGCCACGGGAAGCAGAATCAGGGCTTCCAGATACACGAAGCGTAAATCGAGTCGGTTCTTTATTTTGGCATGGTGAGGTCAAATGAATGACGCTACTCGGATCCTGTATGCGCGTTTCGGAGACGCAGCACACATCGATGGCGCGAGATTCTAAAGTTTTAGCTAAGGAAGCCTGCTGTCCTATTTGGCAAAGTGTTCGTACGTTAAAAGCTCCTACGTGTAGTTTAGAGCGTGGTTTCAGGAGACCAGGAATGGCGTTCCACGTACTCGAATCGTTTGCCCTAGCGGTGCGAGGTGATAAAGAGACGTGAGGAGGGTTAGTCATGGAGATAAGAGAGGTATTAGGAGGTGTAGGAAGGATTTGAATGTGACCACCTTGGTCTCTTGTGCTGTTACGGGTATGAGGGCTGATGTCACTTCCCGGCTGCCCACACCGTGGAAGGGTATTTCTTGAGGAACCTGAAAAGGAAATTGGATTAGTGTTGGTCTTGACGACCTGGGAGCGTGACCGCAGAGCCCAAGGGACAACTGCTTGAGGCCGGTCGCGCACGGCCTTTTTGTGGAAGGTTTTTGACGTGTTAGCTCCGTTCTTCAAAGGGCCTTACCGCCGGAGACGGAAATCCGTGAGGTAAGGTGAGGTGTGACATTTTTAGGGTCGACCTTTTCTAACCCCACCCCTCCTTGTGGGAAGGCAGCATCGCTGTCATGCTGGTTGTCCGAAGGAAACACCTTACTGCTGTCACACCCCTCTACAGTCAGCAGTACGACTTCGCCCTCAGACCTTGAGTTGCTGCTTTTAGTCTTACCGTTCACCAATCGACCTGCCTGGCATGGTAGAACCTACAGGAACATATGTTCCAGCCAATATAGCTCGGTTGGGTCATCACGATAGGCAAGCCCGACCACCGCGTCAAGGTAGCAGCGAATGTCCTGTGTTTTAACCGGGTTGGTGGACATGGAGAGTACACCTAAGGGAGTTGGAAAACCCTGATTCCAAACCAATGGTGCACATGGGCTCCAGTATCCTGAAGGGACAAATGGCGTATGAACCAATCGTTGGTCACTGGCTACCATGGGACTGCATCTCCTTACGATGCTCCACTGCCTTGTGGATTAGAGGTTTAGGTCAAAGGCTCTGGGTGTGGCCCCCTTAAAAACCACTTGCTTCGGTTTAGGCACCCGAGCAGTATCACAGCCTTCACACAAATCTCATTTGATTTGTGTGGCGCATATGTATTCGGTGCCTCCTTGTACCAATATCTATGTGTTCAAATAATAATAATAATGCTATTTATGTCTTTCGACATAAGTAGTATGTAACATCAATCGGAAGTGGGTACCCTGACAGCAGAAGGCTAAGAAGACCAAGTTGGAGAGAATAGAAAGGAATTGCGAACAGGAAGAATCATGCAGAATGTGAAGGACAAATGATGGAAGTTTGCAAATGAAGTATTCCATGTATGATTCTCACATTTTACCAAGAGATTCTGTAATTTCGTATTCAAACACAATCGGTTGTCCCTAATTGTGTTCCTGTTCATTGTACTCCAAAACAATCCTGAGCGGAATATACCTTAATCCAATTCATATCCCGCTAACAAACGTGAAAATAGTAGTGATGTCATCAATATATCTGCGTCCTTTGTTTTACAGTCTGTGAACTTAACCATGTTTCCATGGTATTCCGTCAATATATCATTCATGTAATTCTGGCTTGTACAATGTTAATAGCAATAGATATGTTCAGTTTTAGTTTAAAGAGCATTCATAATATCACTATGTAAGCGGTATGACATATAATATGCCTAACAGATTCAAAGTAAGTACACTCTATTGTAAGAAATCTATCAAGTTGCAGTTATGTATGTTAATATGTCATATATGTTCACTTGTTCGTTTTTGGAGAAGCTTATTAAATCTGCTTAACAAATTCTGTCAAGAATATGTAAAATTCATTCTATTATCTTTATATAGACTAACCTTATCGGTACTTTCAATATGATTCGACTTGCATCTGGTTTAATGTTAGCGAACGAACCAGACGCTGATAATCAACGTGGTGTAATAATTAATACTGCGAGTATTTCAGCATATGAAGGTCAAGTTGGACAAGCTGCTTATTCCGCAAGTAAAGGTGGAATTGTTGGTCTTACACTGCCAGTTGCTCGTGATCTTGCACGAGAAGGGATTCGGTGTGTTTCCATTGCTCCAGGTCAGTTGATAACAGTTGTTTAATTCAATGTCAATGCCTTTGATTATTAATACTACTAGTTTTAATGGCTTGAGTGTTTAAAATATGATACTTTTCATCACCGTGTCTTCCTGATGGGAGACTTGAACACCAAGTTCAGGACAGATAACACCAGATGAGAAGATATGATGGAATGAAATAGACTAGGAGAAGGGAACGAAAATGGCATGAGATTCGCAAATCTATGTCCCTTAAAAAGTGGTTATAGTTGGCACTAACAGACGCATACACAAAGTTACATGTGTCTCACTGCATCACATTACGGAGAACCAGAAAAATCATATTTGCATCAGTACCAGGATAAATTTTCAACGGTGTTGCTGAACCGAATGAAAGATTCAGTAGACGTCCACCTTCGAGGTCAGCAAGTCGGATTATGTAAAAATTAGTCGTGCACAAACCAAATAGCAGCACTAAGGATTCTCGTTGGACAATCCATTGAATGCAACTCGTCACTATGTAGTGAAGGAGAACACGGGTGAGGACAACCAAATCGTATTTAGGACAAATTACAGAATTACTTGGTAAAATAGAAAAACCATATAGTTAATCGTTAATTTGCAAAATATTATTCTATCATATCAAACCGGACTGTTGCTTTTGCAAACCTCAATCCATTGTCTCTCATTTCATTGTTCATGCGATTTCTTACAAATTCCATTGTTTTTTTTTTTTTTTTTTCTTGATCTTCTCCATCTTCTGCTGCCAGACGTTACGTTCTTTTGACTCACGTTATATACTACTTATATCAATATAAGTAGCACGCACCACACTCGTCCCCCCTTTTAACAAGTTGCTGTCGTAGTCTTTCTGATCTCCGTACCTCTGTGTTCTTTGGTGCTTTCCGTGATTCACACCCATGATGATCTTGAAACCATCTCTGTAGTTGACTAGCATTTACGCGCTTCTGCTTGTCTTCTCTCCGGATCGTGTAGACCGAGCCGCGTCTCTCCGTGATAACATACAGTCCTTCCCATTTTGGGGCCAGCTTCCCCGACCCTGCTCCCCCTGCTATGTTACTTTTTCGTTCTCTACACTTTACTAGGTCCCCCACTTCAAAGGGTTTCCACGTTCTCCTCTGTTGTTCTGCCTCCTTTGTGTCTGATATTTGTTTCTTTTCCACGTTCCTTATTGCCTCTCTCCTCTCTTTTCTTAACCTTGTTGTCGTCCACTTCTATTGTTGTGGCCAGGTCTTATTATGCATTGGAAGTCGTGGTTTTCTGCCATACATGAGCAAGAAAGGTGACTTCTTGGTTGTTCCTTGTGTGGAGGAACGATGTGCCAGCAAAATCAATGGTAACTCTTTCTCCTAATTTCCTCCTTTTGATGCTAACCATTCCTTTAACGTTCGATTGTTTCTCTCTGTAAGCCCGTTTGTCTGAGGATGATACGGTGTAGTTCGTATTCTCTTGATGCCAAACTGCTTTAAACGGGCTTTAAACTCGTCACTTTCAAAACAGGGACCCTGGTCAGTTAATATCATCTTCGGTATTCCGTGACACGCTACAATATGCCGGATTACCACCTCGGTCACTGTCCTTGCCCGCTGGTCTGCAATGGGTACGGCATCTACCCAACGTGTAGCATGTTCCGTCATCACTAACAGGTACTGGTTACCGCTCGCCGTCTGTGGAAACGGTCCCATCACATCCACCGACCATAGATCACCGACTGCGGTTACTGGGATTGACTGTAATGGCGGTTGTGTGTATCGATCGCTTTTCATTAGCTGACACTGCTGGCAGGTTAACACGTATTCAGCCACATCGTCTCTCATGCTCGGCCAGTATGCACTTTGTCGTAGTAAGTCCGTCGTTCTTGCGATGCCTGTATGTGCTACCTGGTGACACTCGTGTATCACTTTGCGCCGCCAGTCTTTCGGGATCACCGCCACCCAATTCTCATCATCGTCCTGCCAGGTCAGCACTCCATATGAGTTCACTCTCAGTCGGTCCTTTTGCCGAAGCAGCGTTATTACCTCCTTGTCCATTGTTCGTTTATCTACGTCTGCTCCCTCTTTTATCACTCTGATTACCTCTCGAAGGTTAGGGTCAGCTTTCTGCTGCCGGACGAGTTCTAATGGGTCTCCCTCTAAACTATTCACCGCGTATGCTGTTAATGGCAGGTCGGCTTCCATGTCTGGTCTTGACAAGTAATCTGCCATTACGTTTTCTTTTCCTGGAACATGGCCGATACTGAAATCGTATTCTTGCAGGCGTATCATCCATCGCGCCAACTTCCCTCGGGGGTCTCTTGCTGTTTTCAACCACTGCAGGGGTTTATGGTCGGTCTCAATGTGAAATCGTCTACCTAAAAGGTATGGTCTCCATTTTTCCACTGCCCACACGATCGCTAAACACTCCTTTTCGATGGTTGAATACTTCTGTTCAGCAGGTGTGAGGACGCGACTCGCGTATTCCACCACTCTATCAGCCTGACTCAACACAGCACCTATACCATGATCACTCGCGTCTGTGGCCACTGTAAACAGTCTTCCCGGTTCAGGCAGTCTGAGCGTCATCTGGCGATCGTCTAGCATGTTTTTGATTCGGTTGAACGTTTGTTCGGCAGTCTCAGTCCACGTAAACTTGGTGCTGCTTAATAACTTATATAAGGGTGCTGCTATTTCGTTGAAATTCTTGATAAACCGACTGTAGAACGCCGCTCTTCCCAGGAACTGTCTCAACTTCCTTTTCGAATTAGGTACTGCAATATTTTTTATGGTAAGAATTTTCTCCGGCAATGGTTTTATTTCTCCATTTCCCACTTTATGTCCCAACAATGTGACGCTACTTCTCGCTATCTGCGACTTGTCCTTATTAATCCGAAGTCCAAATTCGTCAATTCGCTTTAAGACCGCTTCCACATGCTTGATGTGATCTGTTTCTGTTTGACTGTACACAACTACATCGTCGCCATATACCTCGACATTATCTAGATTCTTGAGCAGTAGTGTCATTAATCTTCTGAACGTGAACGGTGCACCCGCCAACCCGAACGGCATTCGTTTAAATTGATACTGTTTATCACGTACAGTAAACGCTGTCTTGCTTCGATCACTCTGTTTTATAGGCAGTTGCCAATAACCTGACCGTAAATCCAGCACTGTAAACACCGTGGCATTCTGTAGCCGATCTAATGTTTCCACCACTGTTGGCATTGCACAAGGCTTCAGGTCTGTTATATTATTCAATTCTCTGAAGTCGACACAAAATCTATACTTTCCATTTGGTTTCTTTACCAAGAGTACCGGCGAGCTATATGGACTGTCCGCTTCCTCAATTATACCTTCTTTTAACATTTCCTGGACCTGACGATTTACCTCGGCCTCTAAATGCACCGGGACACGACGTGTTGCAAATATATTTACTCGACTGTTCTTTATCGGTATTTCGTGCTTTACTCTGTCACAAAATCCATACGGCTCCCCATCTCCAGTGAATAGTTTGGCATACTTTTTGCATAACTCGTGAATGTTTGGCTTCTTTGACGAGACATCCGCTGCAACTCTTATTTCAGCCACTTCGCTACTTTCGTGTATTGTCAATGAACCATATTTCGTGACCACCTTACCGCTTCTTAAGTCAACTATCGCTTTTACTTCTCTTAGGAAATCTGCTCCTAATATCGGTCTCGATAAACTTGTGGTTACGACGAACGGAAAATTTATCTCAGCATCCCCCACTTTTACGATACTGTTAGATACGCCAAACACCTCTAACATATGGCCCCCTATCGTGTGGACAGCTAATGTACACGGCTTGATTCTCTTACATTGCTCTTTGCCTATTAACGATACTGCTGCACCTGTATCGATCAGACAAACTAAATCTCGCTCATTTATGTTCACTCTCGTATATACTGCCCCTCTGTCTACTAACGCAACAATCCCCAGATTCCTAGGATAGAAAGAACACTCGTTGTAACGTCTAACATATCTGCGTCTTCGTCTTGTTGGACAGTTTATCTTCCAATGTCCTGTCCCTCCACAAGCGTAACATTTATCGTTCCTTTTATTGTTCACTCGTATTGCTGCAATCTCACGCTCCAGCTCCTCAATCTTCTTCTCGACATTACTCATCTCCTGCTTTTCGCACCCGACTGGAGCTACTGTTCGCGTCATCAGCTGACGAGTCACCTTCGCCAGTTCACTGATATCCATCGGTTGCGCTGCGTTCACCAGTTTCAGTTGTTGGGAGACGGTGGCAGGCACACTCTCGATAAACTGTGACGCCAACAACTGTGCCTCCGACTCCTCATCCAGACTCGGCAGTGCACGGCGTAACAATCTGGTAAGCTCCACAGCCAGCACCAGTGGGTCACCATCGACCGGCAACCTCGCCAACCGGAACTTCTGCAGCGCGTTCTCTCTGTCCACTGGGCTGTCAAACTCCGCCGCCAACCGCTCCGTGACTGCCTCCCATGTCGTCTTCCCGCCAGCACCGTCCAAGCTGTCATACACAGCCTTCGCCCTGCCTCTCAGCAGCGTCCCCAGCACCACCAACTTCGCCTTCGGCTCCTTCACTCCCACCAGCTCCGCCACGGTTTTTTTTTTTTTTTTTTTTTTTTTTTTTTTTTTTTCCTCAAACTCCTTCGGCCATGGAATCTTCATCCTTAGTGGAGGCAGCGACACCAAATGTAGTGAAGGAGAACACGGGTGAGGACAACCAAATCGTATTTAGGACAAATTACAGAATTACTTGGTAAAATAGAAAAACCATATAGTTAATCGTTAATTTGCAAAATATTATTCTATCATATCAAACCGGACTGTTGCTTTTGCAAACCTCAATCCATTGTCTCTCATTTCATTGTTCATGCGATTTCTTACAAATTCCATTGTTTTCTCGCTCTTCTTTTCTTGATCTTCTCTATCTCCTGCTGCCAGACGTTACGTTCTTTTGACTCACGTTATATACTACTTATATCAATATAAGTAGCACGCACCACAACTATACATCAACTTCTTTGACTATAAGAGCCTTATGAAACCTTATTCGACACTATGGTATACCTGAGAAAGTCGTCAAAATCATCCGGAATTCACAGGCCGAACTAAAGTTTAAAGTCGTCGATGGAGAACAACTGACTGACATATTCCAAGTGAAGACCGGGGTCAGACAAGGCTGCCCACCCCTCCTTTCTCTTTCTTCAGGTAGTTCACTGTGGTATGAAGACCTCCACATCTGGGTGGAAGCACGGAATACAATGGGCAGCTTGAACGCAACCAGACGACTTGGACTTTACAGATGACCTAGCACTTCTATCCCATACACACCAACAAATGCAGATGAAGGCAACTGGTGTAGCAACAGCCTCTGCATCAGTAGGCCTCAAAATACAAAAGGGAAAATGCAAGATCCCTAAATGCAACACGGAGAACACCAATCCAATCACACTTGATGAAGAAGCTCTGGAGTCTTTCGCGTACCTGAACAGCATCATCGATAAACAAGGAGGATCTGATGCCGACGTAAAGGAAAGGATTGGTAAAGCAAGGACAGCACTCCTACAGTCGAAGAACATATGGAACTCAAAACAACTGTCAATCAATATCAAAGTGAGAATCTTCAATACGAACGTCAAGACAGTTCTGCTGTACGGAGCTGAAACTTGGAGAACTACCACAACCATTACCGAAATGTACAGGTATGTATATATAAACAATTGTCCACGAAGGATACTCGATGTCCGTTGACCTGGAACCATGAACAACAGCCCACTGTGAGAGAGAACAAACCAGCTTCCAGCTGAAGAGGAGATTAGGAAAAGACACTGGAAGTGGATAGGAGATAAAATTACGGGAATCACCAAACTGCATCATGAGGCAAGCGCTCACTTGGGATCTTGAAGGGAAGCGAAAAAGAGGAATGCTGAAGAAAATACTGCATCGAGAATTAGGAGAAGACATGAAAAGGAACGATTGTCCCGTACAGAGTTTGATGGAGAATGCAGGTGAGCGGCCTATGCTCCTCCATGAGGGGTAACAGACAGAAGTAAGTTCACACATTTATCATGTGTGCGTATAGAAATCAAAGATCTTGATGAATCTAGAAAATTATGTGACAGGTCTAAAAATCATTATTTCACAACGAATATATTCACTCTTTATCCCATTATCTCGGCAATTTTTTCCTTGGCTTATTGTACTGTTTTGAATATTTTATATTGATGTACATTGTTCGCTTCGCGTATTGGTCTTATTCTAAATATATATATATGTATGCCTGTTTGAATATCTGGGCTATCTTTTCCTGTCTTTTAGATATTTCAACGAGTTATCTGTTTTTCGTTTGTTTTAATACATCATCATGTCTGTTAATTGTTAAGCCCATTCAGGGGTGTTCATTAAAAGCTTACGACCTTTCGTTGTACAAGTTATAAAAAAGTACAGTCAGAGACATCATTGTGGCTGGCAATATGCATTGAAAAAAGATGGACCTTATTTAGATGTCAATTCCTGAACTGTTATCATATAACTGGCGATCACTCAATATTTATCGTCAAAATCAATCAAGAAATAAGGAAAAGAAACTTGTTGAAATACTTTGTGTTGAGTGTTCTATATTGCACAAAAATAGAATATTGAAATAAGTTATTCATGGTAGTAGTAGTAGTAGTAATAATAATAGTAATACTTTTGTAATTGTTTAACTGATCACTAATGGTGTATTAGATCGAATTAAACCACAAAATTTATGGAAAGGTTAAAAAAGTTATCCATACTTAACTATGATCACTACATTATTTTCTAATATAGTGTTTTTCAGCGGCTTATCACAATATTAAATTTCATAGGTCTAATGAATACGAAGACAATACTGGGAGAGCGTGGATTTGGTCATTCTGAACTCGTTTATTTAAATGATATTCAATTGGCGATACAGCGTATGGGTAAACCGGATGAATTTAGTTCCTGTGTAATGAATATTCTTCAAAATCCAATGATCAACGGTGTTACCTTAAGACTTGATGGCGGAGGGAAACTTATATTTTTATAAGACTATATCATATTTTGCTTTATTTTTGTATATATAATCGTGTTTAGACAATACACAAACAGGATATATAACCTTTGTACACAGCCACTTACAGATATACGTTGCATTTATCAATTTTCCAAATTATGTTTCTTTAGGATTATTTGATACTCCATTACTTAACGCCGTGCCAAATGCAGAATTGTTGAAAAAGCTTTCATTAAACCCGAATCGTGTAGGTAAACCTGAAGAATTTGCAAAACTTGTTGAATCCATCATCTGTAATCCAATGCTTAATGGTACAGTAATTCGATTGGATGGAGGTGTACGTATGCCTCCTTAAATAATTATTTCTATGTAATTCTCATCATTACAATCTAAATATGGCATGTATATCATTTTTTACACCTACATAAAAAAATTGCTTAGATTCTCTATTGTTGTTATTCTGCTTTATAATGAATAAAGTGACTATTATCAATATGGGGTTGTGGAGGTTGTTAAGTTTTTGATTAAAATCATTAATCGATTGGTGTTAGATCACCATTAAGAACCTGGAAGCACCGAACGACCGTTTTGTCTTGGTATGAGACTCCTTAGCAATGCACATCCACAAGTTCTAGTGAGAAGCCGTGACCAGCGGAGCTAATCCACGTCAGCTAGAAATAGGCATCTACCTCAGACGATGGGAGATGGTTGAGCAAATTTATGGACCGTTTGAAGTAAGACATTAACACCGTTGAGTTTCGGCTCAGTGGCCTAGAAGTCAAGCGTTCGTGAGCGTCACCGAAGATCCTGGGTGCACACTACTGAGGAGTTCTGTACTAGATCGAAACGGCCGTCCATTGCCTCCAGGTTTTCATTGGTGGTCTAACGTCAATCGATTCATGCTTTCGATCAAATTGACCATTGTCACAAAGAAACCAATTTACTAAAAGTTTTAAAATACCGATAATATCAGTTAGATTGGGCCATTTTGTCTTCAATAAAAATAATGCGAATTACATCATACACGGTCGGCTTCTGGTCGAAACCAATATCCTTCTCTGCTAATCCAATATTATTAGTATTGGGACTTGTGGAGATTGTAGTATTTCAAAATTGAATTCACGAGTCTAACTCAGATCGACCGTTAAATTTATGGAAGTGTCTAACCACACAATTGAGATACCCTCGAAATCGAAGTTCACAAAACAGCGATTTGTCTAAAAGTGGTTCTTTATTGAGTAATATACGTAAGTTTGTTACAAACCTCAACTTGTGAGGTATCTATGGCTCTTAACGCGTCTGTAAGTCTGAAATAAGAAGCGTCTCCTACAACACCAACGTAAACAATAATTATGACACGATAGTGCAAATGACAGCTGATAACTCTAATATTGATAACAGTTTATCAGCAAGCCAAAACGGAATTAAGGACAATAATATAAAAACCGTTGCGTTTAAAAAAGGATTAAACGGCCATGAAAAATTGCGAACAACTGCTACGAGGATTGAGAAAAAGTGATTATAATGATAAATACAATAAATGTTATAAGTAGACGTAAAAAATTTAGATTAGTACACCAAAAACTTGTGTTACAACATACATATAGAAATTGCTAGGTATACAAGTGTTTACTGAATATTGATAAGTAGTATAAAACAGTAAACGAAGAGAGTTGATGGGACGAGTGTAGGTGCAGAGAATGTATACAAACTTCACATTGACTCGGGGATTCAACAGTGAGAATAGTCCAATATTGTAAGTCTAAACTACTTACAAAAAAAGTAGTGTAAAAGTTTAACCCAAAAATAGATTGGCCACTAATGCTTTGGGAGGGCGTGACTTACGTACCTTAACTTCTGTCTGTTACCCCTCATGGAGGAGCATAGGCCGCTCACCTGCATTCTCCATCAAACTCTGTACGGGACAATCGTTCCTTTTCATGTCTTCTCCTAATTCTCGATGCAGTATTTTCGTCAGCATTCCTCTTTTTCGCTTCCCTTCAAGATCCCAAGTGGGCGCTTGCCTCATGATGCAGTTTGGTGATTCCCGTAATTTTATCTCCTATCCACTTCCAGTGTCTTTTCCTAATCTCCTCTTCAGCTGGAAGCTGGTTTGTTCTCTCTCACAGTGGGCTGTTGTTCATGGTTCCAGGTCAACGGACATCGAGTATCCTTCGTGGACAATTGTTTATATATACATACCTGTACATTTCGGTAATGGTTGTGGTAGTTCTCCAAGTTTCAGCTCCGTACAGCAGAACTGTCTTGACGTTCGTATTGAAGATTCTCACTTTGATATTGATTGACAGTTGTTTGAGTTGCATATGTTCTTCGACTGTAGGAGTGCTGTCCTTGCTTTACCAATCCTTTCCTTTACGTCGGCATCAGATCCTCCTTGTTTATTGATGATGCTGTTCAGGTACGCGAAAGACTCCAGAGCTTCTTCATCAAGTGTGATTGGATTGGTGTTCTCCGTGTTGCATTTGGGGATCTTGCATTTTCCCTTTTGTATTTTGAGGCCTACTGATGCAGAGGCTGTTGCTACACCAGTTGCCTTCATCTGCATTTGTTGGTGTGTATGGGATAGAAGTGCTAGGTCATCTGTAAAGTCCAAGTCGTCTAGTTGCGTTCAAGCTGCCCATTGTATTCCGTATTTCCGCTCAGATGTGGAGGTCTTCATAATTCTCGTAAAACTGATCTTAATCGTCTTCTCTACTCTCATTGTTGGTGCGTAACGTTCATTGTGATTCTTTTCTTTTGTGCTTTGAATAATCATATTTTAATCCTGGATCTATCAGATACCCATCCTCTAAGTTCATTTTGTGCCTCTTTGTACAGCATCAGAGCAACTCCTTTAACGTGTGTATCATTCTCTCATTCGTGATCGAAGTACAACAGCATCTCACACATATATCCTTTGCTGTGCAGTTTGGGTTCAGTGGGTTGCGCTTATTCCGAGCACCGTCAAATTGTATCTCCTCATTTCAGCATCTAGTTGACTGGTCCTCTTTGTCTCCCATATTGTGCAGGCATTCAGTGTACCTATAAAAATTCGTGCTCTGGTTGCTAGAATGGACATCACTTGCGTGACTTTCGAAGAATCTTGGCTTTCAACCTGAAGCGTCATAATTCTCCCTTCAACTCGAAGGGAAGTGATTTGATTTGTTCATTCTGGTTAACGTTTTTTAGCAAGGTTGTTTTCTGTCCAAAGAAACTTTTATTTCTATTAATAGTTATGATATTAAATAGGATACAATAAAGTTGAATTTCAACGAATATTATCATTATACATGTAGTTTTTATTTATTTCAAAGTTGATATCATCAAGTATGCCTTGTCTCTTTTATTACATTATTCAGTACCGTAAAGCAACAACACAAACAGTAATATTTATAATGAGTAATACCCTTTGATCAAGATATGAATATCATAGTCTAGTGGATAACACTGGAGATTTAAATAGAAATAGTTGCAGAATAATAAATAAAAACTTTCGTCTAAATTTGATCGAATAGTTTCATAGTATTTTGGCGCCGAATTAATATGAGACATTAAAGCAAATACAAATACAGTCTTTCTCTTTAGAGATAAGTTGCAATTTCAAATCATCGTTTAAGTAACAATATACTTGAATTGCGGAAGATTCACATAAAAATTCCCACAATTTCCACTCTGTCACTACTTTTTGAACTGGATAGCCTAGTATTACTAGACTTATTGTCCTATAAACTAAAAAAAACTTCGGAAACAAATGTGGCATGGTTTTCCTGATCATAAACAGTAGATTCGACTGTATACTAGATTGTTCAAGCATATGTTTATTTCATTCATAAGAATATTGTTTGATTATAGCTTATCTGAAATATGACTTAAATGTTCTATTTAGTACGATAATAAATGTTACATAAATTACCTAGGTACTTCAAAATCAATGGAATTTATTCGTATACACTGACCTTTTTCTATCACTTTCAATCACTAAAAATCACCACAATTATTCCTATTGAAATAAATCAGAATAGAATAAGACAATAGAGACATTGTTTATTGAAAATAACATTTTAGAATTATACAACTATGAGTGAACAATATCACATTGTGCTCAATTTATCCAACTTGAATGAATCATTAATACAAAACAAGACAATCTCGTCACAGAGAGTATGTAAAGAAAGATTATAGAAAGAAATGAAATAAACTCTAGTTTATTCTTTCTACATTCATATTTTCATCATAGGCATCATCTTTTATATCATCGAGGTAGTAACAAAGTGATTAACAAATATAGGTGAACTGGTAATAATAATAATAATAATACTAAACATGAAATATTCTATCACGATGCATAGATCTATGTATTGATCAAAGCAAATAAAGACATAAAAAGTGAAATAGTTTCTCTGAACTGAAATTTCTATACAATTCAACAACAAAAGCAATTCATATGTCATTTTACATTGTATTACCATGTAATAATAAATGCAAAAAAAAAATAAACATTCAAAACAAAACAAAAATATATATATATGAAGACTATCATAGAGGAGAATGAAAGAATCCCAAAAAAGCAAAACAAAAACAAAAAAAATATATATATATATATATTCATAGGTGAATAAGATAATGCTTCTCATTTCTCATTTATTCACAGTTATAATGAAATGAAAGACCTGATCTAGGTGTATCTCTATATTGTTTCCATGAAAATATTTGAATTATTTTTGTTACTATACAACTTGTTATAATTGTAAGTCATGTTGATTCATTTTATTGAATACAAAGTTAGAAAAGTAATATGTATTGCATGGAAATATCCGACTATATGCGGATGAATAGAGCGCTCAAATCTTATATGATACAATCTATATTTTTTTTAAAAAAAAAAAACTCAGTATGAATTTTACCGATTTCTGTTATTCAGATCGATCATTATTGTCATCAGTATTGTTATTCTTATTCTTATTGTTGATATGATAATTATGATTTGACAATAATTTCATAGCAATAACAATATTGTCATATAAAGTTAATTCTTTAAACATTTGTGTAAATAATATTGGTTCAGCATTAATTCGAAGCATTTCTGAAGATTTTTCATTGACTATACGTATAACATATTGCCAAAATCGATTCCTTACTTCATCAATTACTTTTGATTTTAAACAATTCTCTACACTGTTGTTGTTGTTGAGGATGATGATGATGATGATGTTAATGTATGCATTGTACTTGATAATAACTTTTTATTTCCACCTACTGAATGAGCAACAAATTGATTTGTTTCAGCAATAAGAAATGGTCTTAATGGATAACTGATTTCATTACCAGCATATGAATAAGCTAAATAAAGACATGCCATAATGATTGTATGCAATTCACGTTCTGTATGTATGTTACCATTTTGTATAAAATTTCTTAACATCATATATAGAAACACAATATGAGTTGGATTAATGAATGCTACTTCAGACCAACCTTGTAATAGAAGTGCTCGATCAATAGCTCGAATCCATGCAACAATAATTGCTGGTTGAATACCATGTAAATCAGAATTATGTAAATGATTTGAATTTTCCAGTAAATTCATTTGTATACGTGCAACGATAAAAATAGATAAACATTTTAATAATTCACTTGTACTTGCTTTAAATATCGGTTGCCGAAATAAATTATAAACATGAGGCACTGTATTAGTAGTAGTAGTAGTAGTAGTAGTAGTAGTAGTAGTAGTAGTAGTATTAGTAGAAGTCGTAGAAATATTATTAATAGACTTGCCACTTCCTGACTGGTGTTGATCTTTCTTCACTTCACCTCGTCTCCAACTTGTTTGTAATATAGATGTATCATAATAACAATGATTGTCATGATTAAGATGTTTCATATTATAGTATCGATCAAGTTTATGATCAGATTTTAGATTTTCAAACATTCCATAAATTCCATCTAGTTTCCCAATACTTTTACGATGATTAAAACACTTGATACAATCTGTTGATTGAGCATCAGTTCTATAATATTGTGGGATAAAAGTATTTTCTTGATTGTTATTCATCGCACTTGTTGGTTTTGTTGTTGTTGTTGGTGGTGGTGGTGGTGGTGGTGTTGTTGTCATAGAAATTGTATTACTTCCTTCAATTTGTTGATTATATCTTTTTAATTCTTCAACATTTCTAACAGAAGAATTCTTTTTCATACGATCATTCATCTTCTTATCAGAGCGTATTTTAGATATTTTTCGATCATAAATAATGTGATTTGTACGAAAAAATGATTTTGTCATTGTGGTTGACTCAACAGAACTTTTTTTATACTTTTGTTGATAAAAATGATTGTTATTATGATAAGTGAAAAGTTTTAAAGCATAACATGATATTGATTTTGTAATATTTCGATATTTATCAAATCCCATTCCATTGATCTTACGTTGGACATGAATAGGAGATGATGGAATTGTTAAATCTATACCATATTCAGTTAAACGTCTATCGAATTTACTTGATAATTGTTCATCAATATTGTTTGTTTCATTTTGGTCATTGTATTGTGTATTATTGTCAGGGATTTCAAATGTTTGAGGTGATAAACAATTATGTACACAAGATAAATTAAAACTTTTAATATTATTACTTTCAGAGAGTGTAAAAGTATTCGATGGTATAAAAATTGGGGCATAATTATCTTTAACAGTACACAAAGAGGAGTTTTGTTTATCTGATTGATTATCATGATGATTGTATAGGGGAAAACGCATATCGAACGAACAACTACGTGTACTCGGTGAAGTATCAGTGACATTCTGTGAAATGTGTTCTACTATCAATTGATTATTTTGATATTGATGATAGTTATGATGTGTGGGATTAGGATGGTGATATTCTCTTGGATAAGTGTCCACTGGAGATACATTATCGTTGAATGTTGAAAGCTGTTTAGACGATTTTTCTGATATTGTAGACGTAGGTATATAAAAGTAATCTTTATTATTCTGACAACTTTGCACAGTAGAGTTATTTTCTATCAGTGAATAAGGTGAATTACTTACATAAATCTGTTCGTTTGAATGTTTGATATTTGAACCTTTAGATCTTGCAACCCATCTTAAATCAACAAGGCTAGGTGTATACGGCATAGTATTACCAATAATATCATTGTTATGATGGTGTGTAGCACAGCATTTTCGATTAAACTCTGTAGATAAACAGTGAGAATAACGATGTCTCAATCGGGAATTTGGCTCAGATAATTGTTTATGATATTTATTAATAGTAGTATTAGTAGTAGTATCGTGGTGAATTATAAAATCTTTCCGATAAACTGATTTAAAGTCTGTTAGGGAGTTTTGACCGATGAACGATACTTCTGGCTAACACTATCATTCATAATATCTCTGGATTCAAAATGACAAGAACTTTGTGTTATTCCTAAAGTTTCAAATTGAGAAACTTCTTTTGGAACTGATTTATCACAATATGATGAGGAAGATATAGGATTTAATTGAAAATTGTCTAATTGAATATTCTGTATATTATTAATTAACTTTGTTGAATCTTCTTCAAGATGTTCCTTTTGTGAATGACAGTAAAAAAACGGCATTTCAATTGTTGAATGATTTTTTGAATTAACTAAAACTTTCATTTGATCACCACGACCATGAACAGTATTTTTTTCATTAGATTTGTGAATTCGATTATCTGGAGTTCTTAAACTTGGAATAATCCCATTACTAATAGACATTTTTGTTTTACGTGATAAACCAGAGAATAAGAATCGTTTTAAGCCAAACATATTTGCAGAATTGTGAGTTTTATCTGATTCCGCATAACGATTGCCAGAAATAGATTCATATTCATTTTGTATTGTTAAAGCTTTAATATTTTGGTCAAAATTCAAATTTTTATTGATTGATTCATGTTGATCAATGTATTCATTATAAGGTCCATTATGTGATGTAGATGGAATGTAACATTTGAATTCTTTTGTTTTATGCACATCACTTAATGATCTTCTAGGTGAATGTACTGGATATTGTGATGAATCTTCATTGGAAAATGTTGAAAGTACGGTTCCCATACTGATTTGTTAACAGATTTATCTACCAGTCATCATCATTATCATCCTTATAACCATCTTTGTTACTATTATTGTTTAGAAGAGTAAAAGTGAGTATGATCCATCAGTCGATGGAAACTACCTCCGTACATAAAGTAAATCTCTTCGTTAAGTAGTAAATTAGTCCATATTTCTAGTTATTGTACTACTATTCTTTGATAAATCGATTATTCTGAAATATTCAAAAGCTTTGCCATCTGGTTAATGTTGCACTAGTAATAATAACTAACCAATATGTTAAATGAGTAGAGTTTTCTACCTCTACATCTCCCTACATTTGTTTGTCTGTTCTACTATTAACTAACTATATTATTTTTCAAATTTACCTGTAATCAGGGTCTGAGCTAATCAATGAGTTACGAGCAGTCGAAAAAAGGGTTACGCCCACACATTAAGTAAACTGATTGGTAGGATATTTTTTTTTCAGATTTTATAGGTCACATGATTAGCTTTTCCCTAATCCCCTCAGCTAGATATATGTACACATCCATGTTCTAAAATAAAATTGATGTCTGTCCCAACTTTCCAATTGTTATCCTGTCTACCTATCTATTTCTTATATTAAAACTAGTCACTGGAAATGATCAGGCATTTAACTCAGATAAGTAATCTACTAAAGTGGATAAGAGACCTGGAGACTCACAGAAATATAGTTTGTTTTATTTGTGGTTTATGAGCCAATAACCTTTTTTTTTTCTTTAAAACAATGTAGCTTCCCAAATTAGACGAATCATGAATTGTTATCATGCTGACAATTGGAAGATTATTTACTGTCAATAATATTCATAATTTGAATGAATTAGTTTAACCTACTGTATTGTCATTTTGTATTTGTTATCTTTTGGAGAAGAATAGTCAATCATATGGAAGGTAAATTATTCTGTAAAAGATCATCTTGGTTGTAGCAAAAATTGTCACGTTAAATGTTAACCCCTGACTTCATCAAAAGCAACAACATCAGAAAATCAAAGATTCTAAAGTTATTTTGTATACTTTTCAAAATAGTGGTCTAAATTCTAATAAGATAAACTCTCAAAATGAAATTACGTTTTTGTTAGAACTCGTTTGCATATTGTGCATATAATGAGTTCGATAGTTGTTACATATGTTCAGGTGTTTTTCACCTCTTAGCTCGCCACAAAGCTATTTGATTTAACCGTGACCTATAAAGTAAAATAGGTAAGTAAATGACCTTACTGACCTGGGATTGGGATCACTGAGTTCAAGGGACAGCTTCTTGAAACCGTTTATCCGTAGCCGTTATGCGTTTAGTTTTTTTTATGTATCATCTGTGACTCTCCCTACCTGTCTAGTTATGAGAAGACAGAACAACTGCAGATGTCCATAGACCCAAGGAAACAACTTACTGGTAACATACCCTAGTACTGATTAGGCTATGATTTACCTTTTGAATATTACATTTGTTGCTTTTGCTATTAACGCTATCCAATCGTTCTTTTGGAAATCCTGTCTCATCTGCTACTTTTAGGTTTTCTATATCAGTTTCCAAATGATCTAATATAATATATTTAAGATTATTCTTGACTTTTGCCGTTTCATTCATCGTTCATAATAATCGTTTCTGATTATTTATCAATTCGATCAATATTATATTGATAGAACTCGATAAGAAATTGACCCTAGATAACATAATATTAGATATTCATATTTAATCTATGACCTGGTTGATTTAAAAAACAAACATCATTTTACAAAATGTTAAATTAACACATCCAAATGAACAGTTATGAAAGAGAGAAAAACAAAACAATTTAAATATCTTATTCTTACTGTAAGCAGGTTTTGACCAGAATAACTTATTGGAAACACCAGTGAATGTGACACTGGGTAAGAAACAAAAAATAAGCCAACATTTCACTCAAAGCTCTGGATACACCTCGCTATCATAAAATCTTGGTCCAAGACTTTCTATCATTTGCCTCCAAGTACTTATTATCATGATCAAGTTCATGTGATATCAGATTTCTATATGATAATTGAAATCTATTTACATCGGTAAAACACAGTTAGACAACAGTTATGATTGTTATGCCTCACTCTTCCAAAACCTTATAACTCACTAACTAATGGAATAACACAGTCAGTCAGTCAGTCAGTAACAACGTACAACTTCGTACGTACGTACATCAGTTCGACTTGCCACATCACATTAGCACAGAGATGCAGTTGTCAATTCAAATCCCGTAGTGGTAGAGGTAATAAGAGTATAAGGAGTTATCGGGAAGATTAGTGTTTGGAGATGTTACTTAAAGAGTATAATACAGTGAAATAACCTGGGAAAGAGAAAAAAAAGAATAACACAGGATAAAGTTCGACCTATAAATTCGAGAAAACAATATTTAGAAAAAAAATACCGCTCAAAATTTGTATTTCAAACAATATAAAGTCACAATAATTGATCTGTAACTAAAGGAGATGGTTTATTTCAATAAAAATACAGAACTTTATCTACGTTATCCACAAGTAAAACTGATCACCAGTGGTTGGTTGAATAAATTACTGAAATAAAATAGAAGAAAAAAAACAGAAAAGGAATTCCACCTCAAAGGAGATGAGTTATTTGGAACGTAAGTTCTCTATTCAACAACTTTGTGCAATTGTCAGTGTGGGATTTGGATTGCATTGAAATCACGAATCAATATAATTTAGGTAACCATTGAAAACCAGGAAGCGCTGTATTTTCCTAGTATGGAGCCCCTCAAAAATGCGTATCCAATCCCCCGCAACTGAGGATCGGACCAAGGAACTTCGGCCTTACATGCGAATGCTTAAGCTCGCAAATGTGCGCTGTTGAAAAACCCTATATTAGGACGAGATGGACGTTCAATGATTCCAGGATTTTAATGGTTGTCTAACCTACATTGGTTTATGTTTTCAATCAAACTTCGTTTAAATTGGAAAAATAAATATAGACAGTATTAACTTTAATAGTTTTCTGCGTAAAAATTAAGCAGTCAGTTTATTAGTGAATAAAATAAATTTGACGAAAGACTACAACCGACGATCTAACTAACTATATAACAATACCCGTTTTTTGTACCATTAAATAACACTAAGTGCTTATCTGAAGTATGACTGACTGAGTGTCGATAGATTTTATATCAGTAGTTCAATATCACAAATAATCCACATCATGTGTAAATTATGTTATGTAGTTGGAGGGAATCAACAAGAAACTTTGGACTCGGGTTTAACGAATCAAGTTTTATTTACAGTTTTGAGGGAACTGATGAGCTTTTAGTGACTCACTTTTATCACGAGAACACGATTGGTTTATTGAAAACAATTATTATTATAACCAATTGTACCAGTGACTGTTTGATGTGTTCTTTGTTTAACTGTGCTAAAAGCATCGATTATACTTAGTTCGACTGTGACCTCGCGTGAATCCGGTTACGTTCAGTAACTAAGCTTGTATCTTGGCACGATCTCGGTATTCTTTCGATACCACGAGATTGCCAGCAAATATATCTCGACTTGGTCCATTAACTGCCTTCTGATATTTAACTTCCGGCGGATTTTATGGATATCCTCGCACGTGTTTCTCTGTAGCGGTGTTCATAGTCAACTGCTACTTGTCACCTCGCTACAAGCTCTTCGGAAATTGCGCGCACGTTGTTCATTATCACAGATAGAGATGTTATCATTGATTCTTTTTTATCTTTATTGCTACGTGGATTCTATTGGTCAATTTTTCAAGTTAATCTGTAGTGTGGCGTCGAATCGCAGTTGACTATGATCACCACTACAGGAAGGTTGCGTACCAAATATCAGAAGTCGATTGAAGGTTGTAGCGATATATATTTGTTGGTGATCTCGTGGTATCGAAAGAATACTGAGATCGTACCAAAAGAGTACAAGCGAATATACTGTTCAAACATAAGTTCGTGCAAGGTCACAACCAACGGAAGGAAGAATAGAAGAATAATGGATGTCTTCAGTACAGTTAGACAAACAAGCACAGTAAAACAATCACTGGTACAATCGGTTATAGTAATAATTGTTTCCGTTAAACCAATCGCGTTCTCTTGATAAAAGTAGGTCACTACAAATCTGTAATCTACATAAAAATCGGGTAATCAATTAGTAGTCAGATATATTATCAAAGAGTTGCTCGGACTGTAATCAATCAACAAATTTAGATTAACACTAAAATTTAGATGATAAAAAACACTATAGCATACGATAACTGATAAATCTGGTCGAGTGTAATAATGTCTTGGCAACGTCTCTGATAGTGACAACTGACGATAGTTGGAGAGAAAGTACTAAGGTGAGACAGTGATTTATGAATAACTTTGGATCGACGCTAACATGACCTTGAGAAAATTCACCTACTTACTAGGATCTAGTAACTAAGATTATGATTGAGAATTGGAGGTTAGAGTTTGGAATTGGAGTTAAGGTTTTCATCACGAAGTGGCATCAGCGATAATGCCAAAACTATGTGGATGAATGCATTTTGCTCCACAAACCAAGACTTGTTGTCTTCAATTTCATTGGTTTATCCATGAATTATAGCCTCACCAGCATTAAAATCTAGGTTGAAACCATATCTGGTTGATCAGAATTTAGCAGCCTTGTTCTGATTTATGAACGAATTATATTCATTACACTTTTTCGGACATTTTTGTTCACCAATCCTTTTGAGCAGTGCTAAGATGACGAAACAAGTAAGTCTTCTAAGTTATTCTTTCATTCATATATGTCAATTCCAATACCTCACTTGTAATTATAACCATATATCATATACATGGTAAATGTGTTTCTGTCAGTTCATCTTTATTCTTACATGAACTATAAGAACTGAGTAGACTTATTGCTAGCTTAGTAGGTGTGCTACAGAACTCTAATGCTTTACACATTCGTTGCATCTATTACTGAGTGGTTTTTCTTTCAATAGCAC